CGTGTTAAATTTCTATTAATTAATTTTAAATCAAAAATCAAAAATTATTTTTTAATATAAAATTTTATTTTTTTGTAATTATTACCTAATAATAATTTTTTATCTAATACTCTTAACGAAGAGAATTGACAAACCCCTCAAGCAAAGATGCAATCTGGAGAGCACATGTGATGACACTACAGACAAAGCGCATTTGGTGCAATCTTTTTTTCTTTTCTTTTTCTTTTTTTTTTCAGGAAATTAGTGCAATCACTTTGTTACAAGAAAATGAAAAGAGAACCAAGGAAATGATAGCAGAAGCTTAAGAGGCTGTTCTACATTAAATAACTTCGCCAATTTTTGTCGTTGATTTAGGTTCTATTTTCCACATTACCAAGACTAGAAGCAGTGAGATATTAAACTTCGGCTTAATAAGGGCCCATTTCTTCTATATTCAGAGTCCATTTCTTTTCTCCTTCCCCCCCTTTTTTCTAATTCAATCTCTTTCTTATTTGGAGAAGATAATGTTTTGCTAATTGCTATTGCTTTTGTATGATTGAAAAAGAAGTCTACTGGATGGCCAAAAAATTAAACGAAAAGGAAGTCTAATAAATTTCAACACAAGATGAATTATGTAATTAGATCAGTTTACTTTTCTTCCAACAAAGAGGATAAAAATTTGAGAAAACCTAAAAATAAAAATCTATTACAAATTTTGATTCTAACAAATAAACTAGCAGCAAGTGATGATGAGAACAGCTCAACCATCATGGGAAAAACTTGAATGATTTTTTTCATTACCCTGGGCCACCCTGTTTCTGAATGTTGATTCATCTTTCCATGTGTATCCTACTAACTGTCACTCCATGCCTCCATGGATCAAATCCCAGAATATTCAGGGATAATTTCACATAATAAATAACTAGAACTCATCATCTTGGAAGAACAAAAATATGCTGGATGTGAAAACAATAATTCCTAACTACAAAAAGAGAGCCATGTTTTCTTCCAAGCATACGTCTAGCCCAGCTGATGCAACTTGGTATCTCCCTCTCATTAGCCTTTTTTGATCTCCAGTTTCATCATCATTTAGGGACTTCGTTGGCTGTCTCATCATTTAGTTCTTTCTCACTAAAGAGAATAGAGATCCCTTTGCATTGGTAAACTTCTTTGCTACTGGGATGAGATTACATTTGTGATGGCTTCACGTGATGCTGCAGGTACGCTTGACTATCATTAGCCACCGTCTCTTTATCTATTCCATGCATAGTATGTGATTCTAACAAGCCATCCTCCCATTGATGAGGGAGGAACAAGAAAGAGCAATCTGCCTCTTTCATTTGCCAATCATGGAGGACCATCTTTGTTGCAATCATTATCTCTGGTTCACCACCCTAGAGATTGACCATTCATGGAAGCATATACTTCAGTAATAATTTACAATTGAAAAGGCAACACAGATGGGGATCCTAGTAAGGAAAGCTAGTTACAAAATGTTGCAGAAATTCATTTAAAATCACAAATATGTGATAACAATGGAAAGCTAGTAACAAAACCACAGGGTAGCTTACCAGTCCTTCATCTAACATGCTTCTTCAAGGTGCTTGTTCTTTACACACTTCAGAACTTCTCCAATATGTTCAAAAGCATCCTCCAAGTTTGTGACACCTAACTGGAAGAGGGCCAAAATAATCTACATTCAAATACCTAGTAGATTTCTGAGATAAATAACCTAGTAGATTGATAGACTGGTAGAATATACAGTTGTTACTGTCATTCACCTTGTTTGTCCTTTGAACAAGTCAAAGTTATGTTTTGGTCTAGGCGGATAATATTTCTCTCACATGTCCATGTTTGGAAAACCAAACTAACAAATGTTGAATTTGTAAAATGAATGCTTTAACATTTGCGCACACAGGTTATAACAACATTTGTAATTATTTGAATAGTTCTAAGAGTTTAAAGTAGTGGATGCGCAAGCATTAACTTAGATGATGTTCTAATATATATTCTCACACGAAATATTAACTCTTGCAGGCATTTTAGTATTTATTGTACACATTGGAACTGATAATGCTAAATATTATGTAGTATGATACATAAAAGATCCTTAATTTTTCAGCTCTCTTAAGGCTATGGCAATAAAAAGCTTTCTTTAGGTTTGTTTATATATAAATTATCACTAGAAATTCCACAGGATTTCCTTTTCTCCAGGGAACTAGGTACTCAATTCTTGCTGTAGTTGCTCTGAGAAATAACAATAAATTAAACATACCATTGCCTCACTATTGTGAAGGGCAGAAGAAAGTGCAGGCAATTAGCTGATCGAACATAGCATACCCTTCAGTACAATATTTGTTTCAGAGTCACTGTTCTGGTAAACAACTCCAGGGTAGTCAATCGAGATCCTTTTTGTGAGGGTTATGTACTGCCACAACTTAGTCTACCCAGGAATCGAGCAACTTTGCAAACCTTTTAGAAAAGCAAACAATTATATTAGCTGAACCACTGACCTCATAAACGAAGTAGATAGATACCACCTAAAATATAACAGTAGTTAAAAAATCAAACAGTTGCAAGATATTCATTTGGCTACAATGTTGACAAACAGATATGGTGCTACACTTAAAAGCATCCAGAGAAATCAGATTTTAGATAAGAGTTAGGAACATAGTGATGGGCACATTTATCTCTTCAACATTCAAGGGCATACAAACACAAATTTTCATGAATAATGCAACAAAAGAAGCCATAAAGAGGCAACACATTACATTTTTAGGACCTGTGTTAATAATGGAAGACTTTCCATCATTAGGATACCCAACAAATCCCACAGATATTGCTTGCTCGTCACTTGTTAAGAAGGCAAATTGTGTCAAAGCTAACAACAGAGAACCCCATGTGCAACAAGAAAAGAAAAGACAAATGATAATGTTGAGTCAATACAAGTTAGTAGCTAAAAATGCAGTATACAAAGTACTTTGCATAGAATATTTTTCTAGGTAGATTAAGGTTTTCCTTCAACATTTGCCTTAAACTGAAAGAAGGGGAGCTTCTCCCGCATTTGTGTGCGTGTGCGTGTGAGAGAGAGAGAGTGAGTGAGTGAAATGTATTACTTACCTTGCAAAAAGACCTATTGATGCAAGCATGAAATGCTTTCATAATATTCTAAGCCATCCCTTTTAGCCCAAGCATAAACAATCTCACAGTGAAAAGGGAGAACTACAAGTGTTCACAAGCAGTTACAGCCTTATAAATACAGCTAGAAAATGAGACTGAACTTGTTTAACAGAAGAATCATGCGTTTATGCTTACAGTTTTCTTTCAAATGCTTCTCTAGATGAGGGCATCGTGTACCTTGCAGGTCCCTAACATGTAGCATCCAAAACCTGTAAAAAGAAATATAAATAAAGAATGGATTGACACAAGAATTCTTTTCAATCCTCTTCACATTTGAAGGAGAGCAAAAGCTATGCATTAAACATAGTAAAATAAAGAAACCAAAACTGATAAGGATTTATGAAACAGAAAAATTTGACACTTCTTGTAGATAAATAACAGAAATGACATATCTTCCTATTTTTCCCTGATGGTAGCACTAAAATCCCAACTGGTGTATTAAAGGATGAGGGCAGAAGGATAAAAATTGAATTCAACTTCTGTTGAGTCCTTAGACAATAAAAGAAGATGGACGGACCTGGAGAACAACATCTAAGGAGTCTACCCTAAATAAGTTTTCTCTTATCCTTTTCAAACATGGTGTGCCAAACTAGATCCCTGAATCCATGTCCTCCACTTCCTCCACTGAAAGTAGAGGCACCATACTTCTGCTCAAAGGCACCTACAGAGGTTAACACCAAAAGTAAAACACAAAATTAAATTATGTTTTGAGTTTCAAAAAGTAAGGGTAGAATTAAGAAATTTATTCACATTAAGGATTATCAGCTTTATGAAGTAAATACTTGTAATCTGCTGCCTAGAGCTAGCATTTCCTTCTCCACTTCAGTCCAGATGCATCTTCAAAATGCATGGTGTCAAGAAGATAAACTCTGGCTTGCTTGACATATGTACCAGATAAAAATTAGTTAGACAAAATGCAGATTAAGGAAGACAATAGGAAAATGGCATGCTAGTTAGAATATATATACCTTAGCTACTTTTGGAAGGGTAAGAACTAAAAATGACACTGTAACACTATGGCGCCATTTTGCCATTTGTTTATGATTATTACATCATCAACTCTGTATAGATCCAAAATCTAAATAGCTATTATTCATTTTGTTCATTAAAGGTGATTTCAAAGCAAGCAGGTCTTACCATGTGCCTGGTGTTGACGACCACTTAAGATTTTTTTCAAAATGAATGAAAAATTAAGTGTGAAATATAAAAGAAAAAAAGATTCGCCACTTGTCCAAATTATAAGGTGGGACAAGTCACCTAAAATGGGTCTGCGCAGAGATCGGGGTTCGGTTAGGAGTGAGGAACGGCATACGCGCACCTCACAATCCTCTATTTAAACACGGTTGCATACTTTAAAATTGAAGTTTTAATTCAACTTATTTATTATGTTTATGTTTGAGTCTTAAAAAGCAAACTTGAAAAAAGAGATAAACCGAATCAAGACATTTTTTTTTTTATTTTTGGACTGAAATAGACAATATCAAGAACATGCATGCACAATAAACACAAATAAAAATTAAATGGACTGATTTGATTAAAATAAAAACAAAGGACTGATTTGAAAAGGTTTGAAACTTTTGGACTAAAGTGCTTGAACATGAAAGTTTTGGATGAAATTGAGATAAAATAAAAGATATCTTTGACTTTGACCAAAATTAAAGTTAATTGAGAATTAAAATTAATTAATCAAGATAATTAATTTAATTGAAAAATTAATTTAACATTAATTAAAATTAATTAAAATTAATTAATCACATTTATTAATCATTAACTTGAGATAATAAATTATCTAATTATCTCAAATCAAATTCAATAAATATGATTAATTTATTTTAATTAAAATTAATTAACTTCATTAATCATAAATAAACTAACTCCCCTAATTAATCAATAAAATATG